TAGGCTTGCCGACACCGCCGAAGGTGTCTTGGGGTGAGCCGCCCCGAATCGGCAAGCCCTGTGGGCTGGGTTTCTTAGCTCTCTTGTCTAGCTGGCCAGAAAAGAATCCCGCGGGGTGGCTCTGGATCTGATCATCGGTAGCAAAGGGATTGGGCTGGCCGACGCCACCAAAGGTATCCTGAGGCGAACCAGCCTGGATGGGGAGGCCCTGCAGGCTTCGCTTCTCTAGCGCATCCGCGACCGGCGCGGCAAGTGCTGTGGGAAGGATAGATAAAAGCAGAATGGAGAAATGCATCTTGATAACTAGTAAGAAAAAGTCTGGTTTAAAAAAGGTAAAAAGGAAGTTTGTGTTGAAATAAATGCGATGATGGAAGCTGCTGACTGTATTCTTGTTGATATAACGAGCGGACGCAGTCAGCTTAAATACACATCTCATGTTACCCGTCTCTACAAATTACCTTGTCTGTAAATAGCCGACGCATTCCGACTATGTCTCGGCATACCCGATCTGCTTGGAGCATGAAATGGCTCTGACTATACTATTCATGCTATCTTGTTGCATCCGAAGCAAATATTGCATACTAAAATCAGACCAGCGATTGAAACAAGCGCGATTAATGGCAGCTACTAATTCGGACATGTTGTCGCATATGCACAGGTTAGCTTTCTTCGCTAGACCCTGCTAGGGTTGAGACGAAGCACAACCAGCATTCCCCATACCATTGTGCAGCTCTTGTTGGAGCGTCTGCTTCCTGCCCATCAAGCTGCAGCACTTCACGGCACATACTATCATGGGTAGACTGTTGAGTCGGAACAAGACTACTCGCCCGTCTCCTCCCACCGGCACCTTTCACAGTCGCACGTACAGTGGAAGAATCGCGCCAGCAACTCCCTACGGGCCTCGAGTGAGCATCTCTCCACGAGGTCAAAATACGTAATGCAGCACTCCTGCCCTGCGGCGATATTCTGCATTGCATGCATAACCATACGCGAAACATGGTCTGGCCGATGCATCACGTTCGGGAGGCACGAGTGGTTGAAACAGCTCCCTCGCCGTGTGCAGCGCCGGGCCGTACGGAATCCCACGCCGCCCAGGCTTCGCGCTTTCCGGACACGGGTGCATGTCGGTCCTTTTTGGAAACATGGCCAAGGAGTTGGTCTCTTCCTTGCTTTTCAGGCTCACGAGATCGGCCACTGCCAGACCGTCGGCGAAGGGCTGGCCATGCAGGTATGCTTCGGCGAGATCCGACCAGTAAGCGCGCTTGGTAGCAGAAAAGAGCTCTTGATTAACTACGCTCTCCCAAGAATGCGCGTCCCTTTGGCGTAGCTCATCCTCGGTCGACGTAGTCTCCAATCTCGCTGCCATGTCGCGGAGATGGGCTTGGCTAGAGATCAAGCTGGCGCTGGCACAATGCACGCACGTTGATCCATGGCATGTTGAAATCGCATGTTCCATACCTGGATAAAACCTCGTCTTGGAACTTCTGAATCCAGGGACACTCAAGCGCATGCCTTTGCGGATCTTGCTCGCAACACTCTGCGTCGCACCATACAACGTCTCGTGTGCAGACGCACGCGACGAGGCCTGCCGTCGACTTTTTCCAATCTCATGCAGCACGCATAGTTGCTGCAAAAAATAGTAGTCGCCCCGTGGGTTGACTGACGGAATTGCTGCGTACGCCTGCTTCTTTCGGGATTCTGCTGGCAGAAAAACTGCGCCAGCCATCAACAGGCGACTCCACAGTGCCGCCTTTTTTCCCCATTGCACCAAAAGTTGAGACGGCATGCTGCTCTTCACCGCCTTCCTAATAAGGATCGCATACAACCTCCCCTTCACAAACTTTCTTTGGACGACCACTTGAAGAAGTGGTCGTCTGGTCGTCAAGATCCGCCATATAAAACACCCAGCAACAACGATAAATAGAGGAAAATACCAAAATGACAGCCATTGCGCCAAAAAGAGCCCAGCGCGAACAATTTCGCGCCGCTCGAGACACGGAGAATGCTGGTGGACTCCCCCGCAAGCGATTCTACCGCCAGAGAGCGCACGCGAACCCATTCTCAGACCACGCCTTGGAATAGTATGTGACCCATGGCCTCAGCTCACAGCTTCTTCTGGCCCCCAAACAGCATACTGACGCTGGTATAGCCCTGCGTCCCCAGAGGACATGGACTGGGCAGAGTACTACCCCAACTACGTAGCAGAATCCACAGCCGACGAGGCCAGCTCAAGTCGACCAAGACCGCTGAAGCAGCATATCGAGATTGTCGACATTGGCTGCGGCTATGGTGGCCTTCTCGTGGCTCTCTCCACCGTCCTACCAGACAAGCTGATGCTCGGTACCTTTGTCCTTGCCTCCCGCCCTCTCCATCCACCACTAACAGTCGCCCTCCTAGGCCTCGAGATTCGCTCCCAAGTCACCGCATATGTCCAGGAGCGCATCTACGCGCTGCGCAAGCAGCTCGCCGGCGGCTACCAAAACGCAGCGTGCATCCGCGCCAATTCGATGAAGTTTCTGCCCAACTTTTTCCGCGCGGCGCAGCTCAGCAAGATCTTCATCTGCTTCCCGGACCCGCACTTCAAAGCCCGCAAGCACAAGGCGCGCATCGTTTCGACGACGCTCAACTCCGAGTACGCGTTTGTGCTGCGTCCCGGCGGCATCGTGTACACCATCACCGACGTCGAGCCGCTGCACTTGTGGATGGTCGAGCACTTTGACGCCCACCCGTCGTTTGAGCGCGTCGCGGAGGACGAGGCCGAGAGCGACCCGTGCGTGGCGGTCATGAGGGCCGAGACGGAAGAGGGAAAAAAGGTGGCCAGGAACAAGGGCCACAAGTTTGTCGCCCTGTTCCGGCGGAGGGAGGATCCGCCTTGGTAGAGACGGTAGGTGGGAAGGCGTTGTGTGTCTAGGATAGACCCTGGCGTTCAAAAGGGACATGATTTACAAGATGAGTTCCAGAATACATCATTTCTGACAAAGAGCTATGAGATATATGAGATATGAGCAGTCTGGCCAATGCCTCAGCCCGTAGCACTTACCCACCAAGCATAGACGGAGTCTGCGTTATCAGCGGGTCGCATGCGAAGTCCAAAGACATCATACATCAGCTGTCATTGCTTCCATACTCAGCGCTACTCTGACTGCTTCTCGTGCTGTGATGAAAGCACGCGGCTCCCATTTCTACGATGCTGTGGCTGCCCTCAAAGCCATCGACAATGTTGAGAGCGAAAATGGAAACCGTCCCCAATAAACAGGCCGATTATGGGCGGCCGTGTTTTTATTGAACATACGGCGTCTGCAGAGAGGGACGGCCGTCGTTGGCACCGCGCAATCTCGACTGGACGGGGCATTCGAAGTATGCCTTTTGCGGCACAGCCCAGAATGAATCAAACCATAGCCGGAGACTGCCTACCTCGCGGGTCACCTTGCTGTCCACCGCAAGTTTACTTTCAGCCCAGTGGCTTGAAAACCCAGCATGATGACTGCATGAGACTACATCCGACGCCCAACCTGCGAAGCGCGGCTGATCATCACCAAACAGCTCACTCCGCGATCCTGAACTATGCATTGCACGGCTCCGGCAGCATATCAAGTGGTCAAAGCAGCGTCCGGACTCGGAAGAGAGCCAGACCGCTCTGGTGCTGCATCGCTCGGCATAAGCTTGTCTCTTAAATGGCACAGCAACGCCAGCAGTCTGCGCAGCTTTTATAAATCCACGACTGGAAAGACATTCACACTGATACATGACTAGATGGAATCTACGACACACAACCAAACCAAGATACAGGTAGTTGCTCCGGCGGCGGCGCGTGGACGAGCATCGGCGCTGTCGCGCTGGCTCGGCGTCTTGTGCGCCGCGGCGCCGCGGCCCAGTTCATCCCCGAACTCGCCGACTTCTCCGAGAACGGCTTCGGGCACAGCCTCGCGCTCCGTGTCTTTCCAGACTGGAGCAAGCCCGTCGTCGCCGCGCTCCTGCCCACGGGACGGCGCGTGGCCGCGGCACTGCGCCGGGCGCGCCGGCTCATCCGCTACCGACGTCGACGATCTGCGGCCGGACAATCTCCTGCAGCACCTGATGGACGGCGCGGCGAACGAGGGCGACGACGACGCCACCACGGTGCAGCGCCTCATGGTAACGTACCTGGGCGCCCGGGCCCGCGGTCGTCGGGGCCCGTTGCGGCAGGAAGCCATCCGCGTCCTGCGCAGCGGAGCGTGGAGCAGACAGGCGCTGGCCGACATGAAGAAGCTGGACAGTTTTATGCGCGAGTCGCAGCGTCTCAACCCCCCCACGCATCGTATGCGCCTCCTCCCCTGCCCCCCGTCTTATTATGTGCGTGTCGATTGTACTGACGCTGGGAATTTCGGTAGTCACCTTCAACGCCATTGTTCAAGAACCCGTGACGCTGCAAGATGGCGTCGTCCTCCCAGAGGGCGCGCACATCCAAATGGCGGCCTACTCCCTCGGCGTCGACCCCGAGCGGGTGCAGGACCCCGAGCTGTTGGACGGCCCGCGGCAGTACAACAACAGGAAGACGCCAGGTCAAGAGAACTGGCATCGCAAGTGGCACTGTGTGAGCGTGTTTGGGTCATCGTTGGGTTAACTTTGGTATATAATTTACCACTACGAGCGAGAATCATTTGAATTTCGGCCACAGCAGGATTGTCTGCCCTGGGAGATTCTTTGCTGATCACGCCATCAAGATGATTATTGCCAATGTCCTCCTCCGGTGTCACTTGCGCTTCCCTGGAGGGAAAACAGAGCGGCCGGCGAGTTTGAACTTATACGATGTCGTCATTCCGAACTTGAATACCTGTGTTGAGTTTAAACTGAGAACCGATGCGTCTGACTATAATTAATAGATTAAGCTCTGCACCGTGGCATGCAAACTGCATCGTCAAGGCCCGTTTGGATAAATCTAGTACAATGAGCGGATGTCCCGGTTTCCATTTGCTTGCGTAGTTCCCATTCACCTGATGCTATCAATATCTCTGATCACAAGTTTAGAAAATTACAAAACATGGACAATTCTTGTTCAACAGGGCAAAGTACTTGCTAGACACACCAAGAAGCTCTGCAAGCTCGTGAAATGAACATGATCTTCACTATTGCGTATAACCGCAACGTTCGGGATTGATGGCCCGCCCGAATCGTCCATACTTGATATCAAGTTCAAGCCACAGAACGACGGCGTTGCCGATAGTATTCCCCAAACGACGCGATGTTTTCAAGCTTTTCTGGATTCGAATAAACCACAGGCAGCAGTATGCACACCATATTCAGGGGCGGTATCGAGCCTTGGACGGCACTTGCGAAAGTGTGACGCTATTTGTCTTTTTGCCCTGGGTGGCCTTTTCTTTAGGGATACCGAGCGAGAAAGCCATGTACAGGGATTAGAAATTCGCAATATGCCGTCCTCTAGCGATACCGAGCACCATTCCCGTCTACGCGTCGTTGGTCAATTCTTGAATCCCGTGTTGGTGGCAGATGGCGATGGCGATGCCCCGTTGTGGCTTCGGGAAGGCCGAGCGAGAGGGAGGGGAGTGCACTTGGTTGACGGAAGAAAAGGGGCAAAGGATTCAAATCGTGCATATGGATGCATGGGGGGTCAAGCCACAAATTGGCGCATTCTTCCGAATAGGGATCAAGGTTGGGGGTTGCCAGGAACGGGATACAGCTAGTGCGGAAGTTTGGCTGGCCGTGAAACTCGACTCCAACGGGTGAGTAAAGGATGCGACTCGCCAAAGCGTGTCATCTCGTGTAAACGCCCCGGTGAGCCGAGGTATGACATGAATTGTGGCTTGATCAACCATGGACATATCTGCAGGTAGAAAGAATGAATGCTGCTGCCTGGACGCACGATGTAATCCGTATGCCATCATCTCGCGTAGTAACCAGGGGAAGACGAAGGTTGTCGAGTAACTCTGGAAGGATTCGAATAGTAGTACTTCTGCATAAGGATCGTCGGGGGCGTGTGCAGCAAGAACGAACGGCATGTTAATTCAACAATGGCGGCCGGGTTCAGGGCACGAACTAGAGTTGAAGCTTCACCGTCGCATTCTCGGAAGGAATAGCAAAGGTGCACGAACACGCTTCCCCGTCCCCAGGGACCGCACCCTTTGTATCCATCATGTGGTTGTACTGCATCAAGGTCCCTTGCCTTTGCGCGCGCGTCGCCCGCACTCACGGTAGCGGGATAGAGTCCACCTTGTCGCCGCCATCAAACACCAACCCGGATCCGGACGTCGGCTGCTCTCGCTGAAGGAAGACCTGGATCGAAAGGGTAGGGTAGATAGGCATAGGTATTCGAGTTCCCACCCCGGTCGAATCCTTTCGCCCTCTCACCCCGGACCTCGCGGAGGACCCTGATGCTGCCAAGAAACCAACGCGATGATGGCTTTTTACCCAAGGCGGGATGTACGGCAACTGGATTAAACGAACGCGGTGGCTCTTGTTCTTCTGCGACCTTTTGCTCTGCACGGAGGTTTTCTTGCCCCCAAGAGCGAGTGAACCTCCAGGTTTCGCACTTGGATGGACGAATGCAGATGTACTCGTGCAGAACGCACATCTGCTTGCGGGCTCGAGGTCAACCCTCTCTGAGACGAAGAAGCCTGGACATCACTCACCGGAATCACTGAGTTGTCAGCATGTACCCAAGTCTCATTCTAGCCAGTCCTCGAGAATCAAGGAACCAGACCAACCAAGAGCCAGGCCCTGCATAGGGTCGCATCCTCCCAGGCAGCGTGAATTGTCGGCCTACTACAGCACTCACCTAGCCTCGCACGTACAGGATCAGCGAAGGCAGTCACCGAAACGAGGCGACGCGAAAACGTGGCCCGTCAGAACCCTACTGGACTTGCGTGGGGTGGGTGAGCACGCCGTGCCGGTTGGGATATGCAATTGTGGCGAGCGACAGCCAGCGATAGCCAGCCCAGGCCCCCCTTCCTTGTTCTTTTTGGCGCTAAAATGCGGGAAACGATGCCAGATTAGAAGAGCCGCCAGGGGGCCGGGGATTGGGCAAGGCGCCGCACTACATTGTACCCCCCCTCCCAAGCTGCACGATGCCGAGAGTGTCACGTGCACAGCACGTGCACAGCACTCTTAGGGCCATAAGCCACCTACGTAGAAGCTAGGGAATATATCATTATCTTGCCAAATTCCCTTATACCTAATAAAATAGTAATAATACTAGTAGGATTATTAAAGACTATTAAAATTTATTAAATTTAAAGCTCTTATTAATAGTAATATTTATTTTCTTTTTTTTCTTTTTTCTCTTCTATACCTATAATTAGCTATAACTAATATATTAAACTATACCCTCCCCCTTTTAATTTAATCTAAACTATATCCCCCCTTTTTAATATTAGTATTATAAAAGTAAATCTAGTTAAACTAATTAACTTAAATACTAACTAAAATATATTAACTCTAATAGGCTAAGTAATATATTAATACTAAGCTATTATATATAGAAATAAATAAAGGTTATTTAGCCTATATTATAAGCTAGTTAGCCTATATTATATATATATAAGATTAAATAGATAAGTAAAAAGAGATTTTTTTTAACTTAAGTATAATATATACTATTTTAAAAGCCTAGAGAATTTATATAAATATATATATACTTATAAGAAACTATATAATCCCTATAAAGTAGCTTATTTACTAAGTTTATATAGAGCTATTCTTAATAAGACTTAAGCTATATTAAAAAAGAGAATAAATATAGTAAGAAGAGTAAAAAAGGTAGGAAGTAAGAGGATAAGTAATATAGACTTAACTTATTAGCTTATTTAAAAAGTAAATATAAAGAAGGTAAGAAGAAAGGAGTTAAGCCTATATATTTAGCCTACTAAGTACCTTCTTAATATAAACCTATTCCTATTTAACCCCCTTATTAATATCCTTTTTAAACTTCTTAAATTTTATTACCTAGTTTAGAGAAATTAGCTTATCTTATTATATATAAATAGATACTAGATAATAAATAACCTTAAATCTTTAAGTAAGTTATTAATAAGTAAACTAAGTAGAGATAAAAAGTATACCCCTTTTAAATAACCCCTAGCTACCTATATAGAATATTAATATACTCTCCTTAGTAGCCTTAATATAAATAATAGTTATTATAGAACTAACCTTAATATATTACTATAAAGAGATATTAATAGTATTTATAATAATAATAGTAATAGTTAATAAGCTTAAGCTAACTAAGCTTTATAAAAATAATATTAGATTCTTTAATCTAGACTTTTAATATTAGGATAAATAAAGGACTAGTTAAGTTATAAAAACTACTAAAGATTTAATATTTATTTATATTTATATATTTATAGACTAACTTAAGTAGTATATTATTAGCTATAGTAAATAATAGGTTAAGAATATTTAAATAACCTACTTATATAGTAAGGCTACCTAATAGTATAATAGTTATTTTATTATAGTAAACTAATAACTACTTTATAATATATCTATAAAAGATATTTATATTAATTTTATTAAAAGATAATAAAAGCTAATAGTAAAAGCTACTAAAGACCTAGTAAAGGCTTAATATACTTTAATAAATATATATAATAGCTATAGTATTAAAATATATACTTTATAAGTATTAAAAGATATATAAGCTTATAAATTAGGCTAATAGGTATAGCTTTAAATAGTATATAACTCTTTTAACCTAATAATCTATAGCTTATTACTACTATTAATACTAAATACTATAGCTTTATAGCTTATAATAGTATTATAAGAATAATAAGATATAATAAGAGATTTTATAAAGTAGAAGTAGAATAATATACCTTATATATTATATTTAGATTAGATAGTATAGTACCTATCTAGGCTATATAATATCTATAGCTAGTCTTATAATAAATAGTAAAGATAATAGTAGTTAAATAGCTATTAGGATAGCTAATAATCCCTACCCCTAGTATATATATAGTAAGGTTAAGGCTATATATAGTAGCTATAGGATATAAGGAAGGCCTTATAGGTAACCCCCTCTAGACTATTCTATAGTAATATAGGTATCCTACCTTAAGCTAATAGTAGTATATAGAATATAAATAGCTTTAAAAAAAATAATAATAGCTATAGTAAGTATAGGAATAATATATACCCTCTATATTATACTTTATACTAGCTATATAACTAAGGTGGATATAATTAAGGTAGAGGTAGTAAGCTATAGTAAATAGTAGGTATATACTAGTAAGATAAGGAAATAGAGGATTAAGGTATAACCTAGGGAGATAACTAGTCTATAGATATACTATTAAAGAAGGAAGAATATAGCCTAGTAGATTATTTTAATAATCTATAAGCTATAATAGTATATACCCTAGCTAAAGAGCTAGAAAAGACTATTAATACCTACTTTATTATTACTATATAAGGTATAACTAAGTATTATATATATAGCTAGGCCTTTAGTTCTAGTAATAATTTATATAAATATATATATATAGCTTATCTAAATATAGCTACTAACTTAAATAATTAAGATTTTATTTATTTTAATATTCTTTATAATAACCCTTCTATAAGTATATATATTAAATATAATATAGTACTACTAAATATATATTATATCTCCTAGAATATATCTCCTAGACTATAACTACCCCTATAGATTATTTAAGTAATAAGTATAGGCCTAATAACCTAGGTATTATAAGGTTCTAGCTAATTATACCTATATTTCTAGGTTTACCTAGACCTAAACATACTAAGTATACTCTATAATATATATACTAATACTAGCTTTAGTACTATACTAGTAGATAAAAGATAGCTAGTTAAAAACTATCTTAACTTAACCTTACTTATAAAGATATAG